AGACAATATTAGACACTTTTCATTTGGGATTGGCAAACAGCCTTGCCTGGCAGAAACGGCTGGAAAATGAAATGTGGAGGCCTGTTCCAAAGAGGGGGAGGGGTGGCAGAGAGGGTAAAGAAAGGATTATGGTGTTTGCTTCTAGGAGTCACATTCCCTGTGGAATGGGGACCCTCCCCCCCAGGGTAAGCCTGAAGGAAGGTAAGCAAGAGGCAGGGACAGGGAAGCTGGGGGGAGGTTTGGAGCACTGGGGAGGTGGGGCCTCTGAACAGATTTATTCTGGGAAGCCCTGGAGGGTGGGAAACTACTCCAAGGAAGGGAGAAAGACAAGGACTTGGACGCTGGAGCCCAGAAGCCTGGGCTTCGAGGCCTGACCTGGACCACTCGCTAGCTGTGTGACTGGGGCCATCCCTTCCCTCAGTGCTCTCCTCTGCGAAATGAAGTTATCACCGGTTCCTTCACAGGGTGGATGCTGGAATCATGCATTACCAAAATCTTTCTGTATACACAGGGTGGGACAAAAGGAGGTTTATAGTTGCTCCTACTTTTGCCCCAGCCTGTATTTAGGGGAGGGATCAACATAGGATTGCCGAAGTTTAATTTTTAATTTTGCCAAGTTAGGAAAGAGGAACAGTGAACATTGTCTAGCACCACAATTATAGAATGTCTTCCCTCCAACACCCCAAAGGTTGGAAAGATGAGAGTGCAAATGAAGGGGGGATCCTCTGCCTGGAATGCATGTGGCCTGACAAAAACTCACCACTGCCCTGGGCCAGGGAGAGCTTGCTTTGTCACCAGTAGTGGTGGTCTGAGGGGAAGGATTTGGGAGGACAAGATGCATGAGCAAAGTGCAGCTCAGCACAGTGATCGCACAGAAGAACTTTCTAACAGGGAGCTGAGGGGCCTGGGCCAAATCAGGAGGTGGTGAGCTCCCAGACATTGCAGGTATCCAAGTGCAGGTTGGAGGAGAGAATTTTTTTTAAAAATTTCATCAGAAGGGACTGGGACAAAGCTAAGCGGCTTCTTTAGGACTCTGACCACTGCTGCCTTCCTAACACCTGAGTCAGGTGGGCACATCCTCATAATGGCAGGTCATGCCCAGGGCATCTGAGAATATAGACTATTACTGCCCATTGCCCCCTCAGAGGAAGGGCCCAGTTGTCAACATCCCAACCCCATACATGGGGATGCTCCCCAGAGACTGGTCTCACCCCCACTGGCCTTGAGTGTGTGGAACCCCTGCCTCGGGGCATGAACATTAAAGCCCAGGGCTTGCTCCTGCCAATGGTAATTAGGCCCAAACCACCTTCTCTGCAGAGGCATGCCCAGAACTGGCCTCAAGAAGCAGGAAGACTCTTGAGGGCTCGATGCAGTTCTTTTAACAGGCCTGGCAGGCAATCCTCGGTGGGAGGAATAGAAAGCAGGTCAGGAGCCCAGGCGCCGGAGGACCTGGGTGCTGGGCTCACTTTCACCCCAGAGCCTGAACCTGTCCTGGGGCTGGTTCTAAACACAACCCTGGTGTTTAATAAAGCAGCTACCACTTATAATGACTCATAAGGTGCCAGGATTTGTGATAACACCCAACAAATGTTACTTCTTTTAAACCTTGCAACACCCTTTGAGGTAAGAACTCATTTATATTTTACAGATGAGGAATTAGAGACACAAAGAAGTGAAGTAAACAGCTTGTGTAAGGTTTGCCTGACTCTAGTGACTAGGCTAGATTGTCTCCTTACTCAAGTCTATCAACCTCAGTTTTCTCATCTGTAGAATGAACATGAAACAGTCATGTCCTGGGGGTGAGTTGGGAGCATTAAAGGTTCTACTATAAAGTGCTCAGCACAGTGCCTGGATGTAGTAAATGGATGAATTCTATCTCTAGTCCTAAGCACACCCCTTGACCCATGCTGATTGTTTAAATCCCTGGAAGCCTCAGTCTTCCAGCCTGTCCAATGGGGCTGCTGCTCCTTGACCTTCCTTTTCAAAGTATTCTTAAAACTCTTTGTTTGGGAAACTGAAGCCAGACATAGGGATTTCTAGATCGTCTAGGATTCAGTGGTGTACTGGAGGTGGCTTGTCCCAGCTCAGGAGAGCCGATTGTTACACTGTCAGGATTTTGTCCAGCTGTTTGCTAAACTCAGCCATTATTAAAAATTAAAGAATATAAAATTACAATGAAATAACTTGTGGAGAGCGGCTGAACCTGGAAGCTGGCTGGGGCTCGGACAGGAGCAAGGCTGTGCCCTGAAGACCCTGAGGGACCTTGTCCGGGGCAGAGGCAAAGCAGTGCCTGGATACGGGTCCCCCTGTCCATGGTGTAGGCTGACACGCTGGCTTGAGCAGAGCTCTGCTTGCGTGCAACATGTCCTGCCAAAGGCTAGGAGATGCGATCAGCCAAACAACAGTCAGGTGCCAGCTTCCGTGTGCAGTGGGAGCAGCGTAAAACAATAGAAAACCCCCAAGATGTTGTTCTGGGTGCAGCAAACCAGTATGTTCTGAGCAAGCTTGCCAAGGGATTGTTTTTGTCCCTCTCAGCTACCTGCAGTTTCCTTGAAGAATTGTTACCTTGACGTATATAATAAAGATGCTGAGCTTGCTTGGGGTCACTGTCTCTCCATCCGAGGGCAGTGTCCCACCTGGCCCCAGCTTTGACTGTCTTATATATCTCTGTGTATTTCTTAATCTCTTGTTGCTCCCTCTCAGGATCCCCCACTTCCCCGTGCAGGTTGCGGCAATAACTTATATTAAAAACAGAGGTAATAAATACTCAAAATTCATTACATCCCATTGATTTTGCTATGATCCGTACTCAAGATTATTTATCTCTGTTGTATTGGTCCAGTGTAAATACTACAGAATGGCCTGCTCCTGGGTATCTCTTTCTAATGCCTCATTCAGGGACATCACATCGGTAGCTTGACATTGGCCATGGTGGGAGAATTTACACTGTGGAAACTGCTAAATGCTTCTTACCAGGGCTCTCCCTCACCCCACCAGGGAGCCAGTTGTTAAACATTTACTAGCACACTACTGCTTAAACACAACAGGGTTACCACCCTGAACAGGCTGAAATCTGTGCCTCTCCCACCCCACTGCTTCCAGCTTGGGCCTCCCTAGAGTAATTCTCCCCTAAACAGGGACAGGGGGTGCAGATAGAAATCCTACAAAAATTTTAAGGGGCCAGGTTAGAACTTATGGAGAGACACCATAGAATAGGTTCAGGGACCCCACCTTTATCTAGCTCTTTTGTAATGAGTGGAGTTATAGGAAATTATATATATATCTTATTTAAATTCTCTGAAAAACCACATAAAACAAGTTTCCATCACTTTCCAAACTCAGGAGCCAAATAGAGTGGATAGTGAGGGAAACTTGTATTTACCCTTTTAATATGCCAGAGGAAACAGGAAAATTGTTGAAGGCTGAATGTCATCTCCCCATGAGACATCGCCTCCTGCTCTGATTCTACAGAAATTCCTTCTTCATGAGGTCTGGCCCCTAAGCCCCACTCCTGGCACTGTGCCCCTGGTCCTTACCCAAGGCTTCAGGCTCTTCTTTCTTTTTCCTCGAAATAGTGCTCTGGGTGGGCTCAGCCCATGGGTCACCAGTCCCTCGGGGGAGCAGCTGGAAGGTGGGATCCAGTTCCAGAATCATCTGGTTGAGGCTCTCCAGTGATAAGTCAATGTAGGCATCAAGTTCCTCCAGGGCCCCTGAGGTTTGCTCACCAGGGGACCGTAGGAGGCAGCTGGCTTTGGCTCCAGCCTGTGGGGCCTGCTGGAGCCTGTTGGGGGGCTCCTTGCAGGGCATGGAGGCCATCAGGGCCTGGGTTCCCCAGCCCTCTGTAGTGTAGTAAGGACACTGGGGTGGCAGGTTAGGGTTGGGTGCTGGGTGCAGGACCCTCCTGGGCTCCTCACAGGAAGCCAAGCGGACTGCGTGGCCTCCTGCCAGCAGGGGGCTGGACATCACCTGCGACATGGTGGGGACAGTGACCCAGCGGTGTACCTCTGGCTTCCCACCAGCCTCACTTACGTCCCAGAGGTGTCACTTGCCAACCAGTAGCTCCCAGGATCTGAAAGAGGGCAAGGGTGGCAGCTGAGTAACTTTTGTAGATGAACCCCTGCCTCCTCCTCCCCGCCCCCCCAAAAACAAAGGCATTTATTTATTCATTCATTTAAAAGCATGGATGCTGGAGCCAGACTGCCTGGGTTTGCATCCTGGCTCCACCACTTACTAGCCGTATAACATTGGGCAGGCTAATTAACTTCTCTGTACCTCAGTTTCCTTATCTATAAAATGAGTTAATATTTGTAACATGCTGAGAATAGTGCCTGATGCATACTAAGCATTATGCAAGTTATTGTTAAATAAAATAACTTCAATAGAAGTGTATTAAATATCTACTATGTCCTAGCCTCATTTACTAAATAAATACTAGCTAATATTTACTGAGTAATTACTGTGTGCATAGGCACTGGTGTTTACACACAAAGTCTTTTAAAATCCTCATAACAGCCCTCTGAGGTAAAACTATAATTACACCATATTACAATGTGAGAATGGAGACACAGAGAGGTAAGTGACTTGCCCAAGGGTGAGTGGCTGACCAGTGTCAGAGCAGGACTGGACCCCAGGCTGCCTGAGGTCAGAGCCCCTGCATTTAGCTGCTACTTCAAGTGGGCCAATGTGTAGAACAGACAAGTAAGTGGGTGAACAATCCTAAACAGTGTCACCAGGGAGGAGGGGAAGCAGAGGGGACTCTGTAGGCACTGGTGGGGAGGTCAGGGAGGGCTTCCTGGAAGAAGAAACATGTAAAGGGAGTCAAGAAGGAAAAGCAGGAGCTAGCTGGCCAGGCAGGTGGGGGTGAGGAGGCAGGTTCAGAAAGCTGACAGACAGGGGAGATGAGGAGACATCGCCCGGGAAACAGGGAGAACGTAGGACAGATGGAGGGAAAGATGGGGTGGGGGAGGCAGGCTGGGTTCGGTAGTGCTGTCTCAACCCTGAGGGCAAGGGGAAAGCTACAGAACAGTTTTGAGCTGGGGAGTGACATCATCAATGATATTCATTCCCTGGGGGCTCATCCAGGAAAGAGCTGTCTCAACTTCCTTGTTTTACTGTGGAAAGTTCTTCCTGTTGTCTAGCCTTAATATCACCTTAGTAATTTCTTACAGGTGGGGCTGGGCAGGAGGTAAACGGTTCTAGGACTGAGGCTGCCAGGAAAACTGTAAGAAGCTGGGACATGCTGGCCATGCTGTCACTGCACGCCCCGAGTCTCACTGCTTGACCAGCAATGCCCCAACTCTGCTTCACCCTTTTCCCAAGATGCTTTCATCACATCCTGCTTCAGAGTCAGACCCCAGTGCTGGACAAGGTACTGAGACCAGCCTGGGGCAAATGAAATGAAGGCTCCTCAGGAGCCTGAGGATTCAGATTCAATTCCCAGCTCAGACAGTTCCTTAAGGTGAAATCTGACCCATAGTTTCCTTATCTGTGAGATGGGCGTAAGACTTCCTGCCCTGCACCCTTCTAGAGAGTGACGTGGAGCCAATGAGGTGCTGCTTGTGAAAGCAGTTGGACAAATACTACTCAGAAATACTACTCAGAAAGAAATACTACTCAGAAAGAAGTACTACTCAGAAAGAAGTACTACTCAGAAATAAGGGCTTGTCTAGAGTACAACAGCTTCATAAGAATAGATAATAACAGATCCCATTCATCAGGCATTCACCACGTGCCAGGAGTTGATCTGTGTGTGTCAATCCAAGGAAGTTCTGCACCCCTAGTACCAGCCCATTTTACAGGTGAAAATACTGAGACTCAGAGAGGTTAAGAAATCTGCATGGGCTGTACACCCAGAAAAGTGGTATAGCTGGGATTCAAACCCAGGCTGTGGGACTTTGGACTCTTAACTCCTTGTATCACATTATGTTCAAATGCAGAAGAACAGCTGAGGTCCAGAGAGGGGATGTGATTTGCCCAAGTCACACAGTAAGTTAATAAAAGCCCAGCTCCTCTTCTCCACTACTCCTGTAGGCCCCTGCCAGACTTCTCTTTGGCCGGGTTCTGGAGGGGGTGGTGCATCCCAGGCTCCTGAAGTGTGTCTATAAATGGCAGTGGAAGGGAATTGCCTCTGAGCTCCTTTCTGGGGGCAGCTGAGGACAAGGAGCTGCGGCTTTTTCCTCACATGCTCCAAGAGGCCTGGGTTTGCTGGGGCAGGATCTCGGCTGCGGCAGCGTGCCCTGCAGGGTTTTTGTCTGGGCCCTGCAGAGGAGGCTGAGCTTATTGACTTTATGGAGTGGGAGTTCATAGGGGGCCTGGGTCTCCCCCCAGGATTAAGATGCAGAATGCCTGCAAACTGATTTGGAAACTGCTTTTGTGCCACCCTGGACAACATCCTTTCCTCTTTAGACTTCAGTTGTCCCATCTATATAATAGGGCTATTATAATAACAGATATGTACTCAAACTTACTCATTTCATTTTCTCAGTGGTTCTGTGAGGAGGGTACTCTTACTGGGGGGCTAGAGAGGTTAAGGTATTTGCTTGCCCAATGTTATACAGCCCACAGAACCTGGTGGTGGGATTGGAGCTTGAATCTGGGTGGTGGAGGCTCCCACACCCTATGCCTCTTTATAGATTTAGGACCCCTTTCACCCCTTCTCCTGGGATTCTGGAGCCCAAGGGACAGGCCTGGGGGGCTCTTCTTCAAACTCTTCTCACTTGTAACAGTCCCTGAGTCACCCTGGACCTCCCGAGCAGGGGCTGGGCTCACTCCTTTATTCCTGCACATTCTGCCCCAACCAGCGCACTTTGCTAGCTCTTTCTTTCCTGCTCTGAGGGGCAGAGGAGGGTCCCTGGGGCGCAGGACTGTGTGTGTGTAGGGGGTAGGGTGGAGGTGTATAGTGGGCAGGGAGGGCTCCAGCCAGCTCAGCCCTAAAGTTCCTCCCACCCATTCCCCCTTCAGATTTGGACTCAAATCTCTTTCTTTGTTCCCAAGGGCTCTGGAGGGGGGAGATCCTGCTACCTTGGCATATCTCCTCTTCTGCTTCATTGCCAACCTCTCCTCTCTCCTACAAACCCAGGTCAGCGAAGGGAGAGGGTGAAAGAGAGTGAAGTCTGAGTCTCCCCAAAAGCCCCTTGCCTCAATAGCCCAACCCCCCTACTCAGCCCCCATCCTGGAAGAGTGGCTTCTAATTGTCCCATCTCCTCCACCCAGATCCAGGGACCACAGGGACCACAGGGACGACGAAGGCCATGGTCCCCACATCTGGAATTCTAGAAGCCTGGGGGGCCTAGCACCAGGGCTCAGGGCCAGGCCGGGAGGCAGGAGGCCTGGCTCTGTGCCCACTCCCTTCCCAAGTCTCTGTGACCTCGGGTAAACCTCTTCCCCTCCTTGCACCTTGGTTGCCATCTGTTCACTGAGGGTGCAGATTTGCTCCCTCAAAGCACTAACCTCTGAGGTCCGTGGTCCTGAGACATCTGTCTCATCCACAGCCTCTTCCCCAGTTCTCTCCACCTTCACTCGGAGCCCGGGACCCCCAAGTGGAGAAGCAGAGGGCAAAGGGTTAACCAAGTCAGGGCTGGGAAGGTGCTGAGGCTCCCTCTCCCTAAAGAATAAAGGCACCTACCTGGTGTCCAGGGCAGACGGGCAGCTGCATTCACTCCTGGCTCCTGGGATCAAGACAGCTCAGAGGCCAGGTGGGGAGTAAAGGGAGGCGCAATTCACCTCAGACTTAAGAGCACCCACTATCCTGCCCTCCCTCCTCCCCTCGGGGCCCTACACGTGGCCAACGGTTGGCAGGCTCCACCCTTCCCGCGCCTGGACGGCTCAGGTGGGGTTGGCCCCAGCACAAGGAAGGGAAGCACTGGGTGGCGGCCTGGCCTGGCCGGGCCTGAGGAGGGCTGCGGCTGGGTGTGTGAGAGGGGCTCCCAAGCTCCCTGCTTGCCCTGCCCTCCCGCCCCTGCCTTGCCCCCACGTGCAGCACATGCCCAGGGGAGCCCTGCTTGGTTGGGCAGGGACTTGTTTAAGACCAAGGTGTGCTGGCTGTGGGCATTCCTTTCACCACGTGCCAGCCAGGGGAGGGACTTGGGTTGGCAGAGCTTGCAGAGAGCGAGGTCCTTGACCTTGGGAAAGCAGAATGCCCCGTGGGCAGGTAACCCTTCCCACAGCTCTGTCCCGTGTTATCTGGGTGGGTCACCCTGTGCAGCATGGGGTAGGGGTTCACTGGAATTAAGGCTGGGCAAAGGTCTTCTTTTCTTTTTCTTCTTAATCTGGGAACAGGGCTTTTAACTCAAAGTGGGGAAGCTCTGAGTGTCTGGAGGGCTTTAAGAAGGGGCTTGGAGCTATGCTTCGCTTCATTCATTCACTCACGGCTGTCCCTTGGCATAGTTTGGTCTGGCCCCCGGGGTGAAAGTTCACATGGCAGGAAGTCTAAAAGTCTGGGCATTCCCTCTCCCTGGCTCCAACTCCCTCCCTGTCCTGTGCCAGGGTCCCAGAGTGCTGTGAGGGGCACCCAACTGGACAAGTTGGTCTGAATGAAGTGGGGGAGCCAGGAGTCTCCGGCTCAGGGACTCATGCTGATCCCAGCAGTGGCTAATCCCAGTACCCTGATTATGTGCAGTGGAAAGACTTCTGGCCTTAAAGTTTTTGATGCCCTGTGGCTTCTAGGAGGCAGGGTGAAGCAGTGTCACCAGAGGCCAGTAAGCAAAGATGTGTAAAGTTGTGAACAGGTGCTCCTTCCTGATGGTGGCATTAGAACGTGGCCCTGTTTGTCCATGCAGCCCAGATGGCACATGGCTTGTTGAGCAGTTGTATCTTTGAATAAAGAAAATGGTGTCCCTCCCTTGGGGTGGGTGCAGGTGCCAGGTGCGGTGCACTGCATGTAGTGGGGGTTGGAGAGACAGCTGCTGAGTTTCTTGGGTGGAAGGGGTAGGTTCCAGGGAGGCAAAGTGTGGGGCCAGGATTGTGGTGGTTTTGGT